GAGGCACCTTCAGTCCCCCAGCGTGGTTTGAATCCAGCTCTGCTGATTGCCAAGAAAGCAGAGAGCAAAACAAGATTAGAGCTCAGCGAGACAGCGTGGCCCTCGTGAATCCAAATAAACAAGACATTTTGAACTATTTCCAGCATGACTTCAGCACAAAATAACATTTGCACATCAGTGTAATAGCTGATGTTTTAACTGCTTGCTGAGGGAGCAGTCACGCACTGCAGCCCCGAGTTCAGTGATGCTGCTCAGCCTTCAAAGGAGGCAAAAAGAGCTGCAAAAGAGCAGTGCTGCACTTGAAAGCCTTTCAGAAAGCACTAAATGTATTTGTGCTCACTCTTGAAGCCGAGCAGAACACAGCCCTGTCCCCACAAGCCTTGGGTGGATGATGGAGCACTTGAAAGGAGCTGGGATGGCTCTGAAAGGAAGTCTGCATTGCAGGCCACGGGTGGTTGGTTATTGAGTTAAAAGTAAAAATAATTTAGGTGTCACTTCTTAATTGGATAGTTTATCCTCAAATCCCAGCTGAAACCTCCTGGGTTCCAGAGGCAGGCAGGAAAGGGAGCCAAAGCCAAGGGGCACAAGTCCAGAGGATGCAACACAGGAGGGAAAAGCCATTTTCCCTTTGAACCTGTGCAAGGACTGGTGACACACCCTCACAGGAAATCCCATTACTGGGGGCCCTAAGCCATGAATCAATCCCCGAGTCATTCAGAGCCAGCCCCAGGACAAAGGAACAGTCAGATGCTAATTCAGGCCACAAAGCTGGAGAGAGAACGTTCCCTCTTTGGATTAAGGATTCATCATCAGCAAGTACAACCTATTTTCATTAACTGCAGCCATTTCCCGCTGCCACATCCTTTCCATTTTCCTGGAAACACGGGAGCAGCTACATGGCTGAAGGCAAATTAATTAGGAGACAAGAAGGAAATTATCTACAGCACCCAGAACAAGCCAAGCCACTGAATAAAGCAGCTAAAAAATCTACCAAAACCCAACTTCATTGAACACAGACTGTATAAAATCTCTGCTCCAAAATTCCATTAAACCTTTAGTTTTGCAAAGATGTAATTGTCTGGAGAGGCTGTGGATGCCCCATCCCTGGAAATGTCCAAGGCCAGGCTGGATGGGGCCTGGAGCAACCTGGGATGGTGGAAGCTGTCCCTGCTTGTACCAAAACCAGCCAGGCACATCCTGCAGCAGCCTCTGAAAACATCCCCACCTCTCTGGGATACTTTTGATGAATGCATCTCAAGCTGTGTCAGGGAAAATATAGGTTGGATATTAGGAAGAAGTTTTTCACACAAAGAGTGATAAAATATTGAAATGGCCTGCCCAGGGAGGTGATAGAGTCACCATCCCTGGATGTGTTTAAACAAAGACTGGATGTGGCACCCTGGTTCAGTTGAGGTGTTTGGGGCTGGTTTGATGTTCTTGAAGGTCTCTCCCAACCCAGGGATTCTGTGAAAAGCTGGGAGGAATCACCAAACATTTAGGTTGGAAAAGACCTTCAAGAACACCGAGCCCAACCTCCTTAGTCAGCAGCAGCTTCAAGCTCAGACTTGCAGCAAAACAAACCAAAGGTGTCACTTAAAAAGCCAATGTCACAAAGTGTGGCCTACAGAGGACACAGGAAAACTCCACATGATTCATAAATTCCCCCCAAGGTGCTTTTACGTGCACAGGACAACACCCAGGAAACAGCCGCCACTTCTAACAAAGATTATTTGAAATTCACAGGGTGGTGAGGTTTTGTGTTGATGGATTTTTGAGTTTGTGGGAACTTTTTTGGTGGTGCTGTTTCATTTTCTATTTAAACATCTGCTCTAGTCACCTGTTGCCCACTTAACTGGGAGATCTCACCACTGAGTGCTGTGCACTGGAATTTACTGTTAACCATTCCAACCCTTGCTGTATTCACACACAATTCTATTCCTGAGCAAACAACTTAAGCAGGAATATTTTCAAAAGACTGCACGTATGCTTCCTTCCCATGGAGCTAAATTTGGTAGGTATGAGCATACCTGGCTGTAACAAGCTGAAACAAAAATCACTGAGACACAGAAACTGAGTTCCAGGCATAAACCCCTGCTTTCCACTGCTCTAAATAGTCCCTGTTACACTGTGATTACACAGCAAGCAGTGCTTGCTCTGCTCTCTGAGCCCAGGGTTTCTCCTTCATAGCCACTGAAATTCAAGTTTAAAAGAGAATTCAGCAAGCAGCTCTGTCAAGCACATTCAGTGCCAAGCTGGAGGATGAGTATATTTATATAACAAAAGGCTTCCTGGATTATTTTAAGGCTCAACTTCTGCAAAGAGAACAATTGATGAAAGGGATGTTTTTCCTTTGTTTAAAAAAATAATACTCGTACCAAGAAGAAAAAAAAAAAGCCATTGAAGAGACAGCAGTGCCTGAAAATTCCACTGTGAGATCCCTGGATCACAGCAGAGTCATCCACATGCTCTCTGACCCCACGAGTACAGAGCCTGTGCTGTCACAGATTGAGATAAATACAGCAAAAACCAGAGGTCACAGACACCAAAGCAGCTGCAAGTGAGTATCTGCACAGAAATGATGAGCTGTGCCACAGAGTCACAGAATTATTTTAGGCTGGAAAATCCCTGCCAGCCCATGGAGTGCCAGCTGTGCCCAGTGCCCACCTTGTCCCCAGCCCAGAGCACTGAGTGCCACCTCCAGCCCTTGCTGGGACACCTGCAGGGCTGGGCACTGCAAAGGCCTGGAATTGAATTCCAAAATGGAATGACAGAACTGGGATTATGGGTGTGTAATTTGAATAGAAGTGTGTGATATCACATGGTGGAAGACTTAGTTTAAGATTTTAGAATACAGTAATGTATATAAACAAGATGGAGGTTTCAGGGCAGAGACTGATCCTTCTTCTTCACCTTCTTCTCCATGGGTTTGGGTGGTTTTGTGTAACTGGATAAGAAAGTCTGCATTGCAGGCCATGGGTGGTTGGTTATTGGGTTAAAAGTAAAAATAATTCAGGTGTCATTTCTTAATTGGACAGTTTATCCTTAAAAGGCCTTGGAGAGAGAGAGATGGGGCTCCATTTTTAGTTTGTTACAGTGAAGTGCTGTAGAACTCAGGGTTTGTGAGACTGTAACTGAGATAATTCACCCTTTGCATGCAGAAATTGCTGCTGCTGTCCAAGCTGAGCCTCCCCTGGCCCAGCTTGAGGCCCTTTGCCCTTGTCCTGTCCCTGTTCCCTGGCAGCACAGCCCGGCCCCCCCTGGCTGTCCCCTCCTGGCAGGGAGTTGTGCAGAGCCACAAGGGCCCCCTGAGCCTCCTTTGCTCCAGGCTCAGCCCCTGCCCAGCTCCCTCAGCCCCTCCTGGGGCTCCAGCCCCTGCCCTGGACACGCCCCAGCCCCTCCAGGTCCTTCCTGCACTGGGGACCCAGAACTGGACACAGCCCTGGAGGTGCCTGAGCAGGGCCAGCCCAGGGGACAGTGACAGCCCTGGGCAAGGGAACAACCCAACAACACAGACCCAGCCACACCTGGACTGAATCTTTTCCCTTTAGCACAGAGCAGAGCAGCCTCCTCTGCATCTCTTGATGTCCAAGCCTGATTAAAGCTGCATTAAACTTTAAGTAATAGATGCCTGCATTATTCATCACTGCTGTGTATTGGATGCAGAGCAAACAGAAGCTGAATCAATGCAGTGACAGGAGATTCAGGTGTCTGCTTAAAGCCTCCTGCTCCCAACACTGATGCACTTGAAGAAGGGTGGGGAAAGCAGGGATTTTCACAAGTGCTGTAAACAAGCCTTGGTATTATTACAGTTTGTCCAGAACAGTGACACAGAGGCAGCTTTCAGAGAGCAACAAGTGCAAAAAACCTGCTCATCATTCATCTGACCTGTGACACACAAAAATATCATTGCCCTCTATTTGAGCAGACTTGGTGTTTAGTCACAGCATTTTTTCTCAGGATTTCTCGTGGTATTTCTTACAGATTCTGTGGAAAAGCCACTGAAAATCTGAATTATACAGCCTTTGAGATCCAGAGAGATGCAGTATTGGGACAGCCACTGGAGAGGGGCTAAACCCAAATTTTCCAAAGACAAACATGCTCAGCTCCCTGAATTCTCTCTGCAGGGAGAATTCAGCTGGATTAGGAAGAATCACAACTGAAAGGTGCATTTCTGCTCTGTCTCCCACCATAGTCTCTTACAATCTGCCAGTTGAGGCTCACTAATATTCCAGAACATTTTCAGGAAAAAGGCAAAAGTTTTCCCAACTAGGAATGGGAGGCATGAGAGACTTGGCTCACTCAGGGTGCTGGACACAGGGGCTGCACACAAACAAATAACAGCTTTTAGAACACTCTTCCTCAGAATCTTTACACCCAAAACTCCACTTTTATTTCCTGATTCTCACTACACCTCCCCTCTACCTCTTCAATCAGTCATGGAGCTTTCCAGCATGGATCAAACCCAACAAAACCATGACAAATCTTATGAGATGCCTTTCAGCAAATCCTCACACAGCTTCAAAGGATTACTGAAAGACAAAAAAGCAACTACAAGCAGCAATAAAGGGCATACACCCTGTTTATTCTCTCTTTGCAGGTCATTTATCTATGCCAAAGCCAGAGCTGGGAACAGAACACAGGTATTCCAGCCCCCTTCCTGGCTGTCTACACAATATATCACCAGTTTCCACAGCCAGAAGGGCAAAAATTTCCTTACAAGCAGAGTTTTGGGAGCATTTATCCACAATCTACACCTTCAAGTTCTGCTCTTAGTCATCCTTCCCTGCAAGCAGGCAGAAAGAACTGATCTAAGGGATCTTTCAGCTTCTTTCCCCAAGATTTTACAATTTAATGCTGGAGTTAGACAGAGTTTGTGAAATATCCAAAATGTCCATAAAGAAGAACTTGCCCCAACTCAGGTCACAGTAAACAAGGTACTGAAGGAACACATCACTCCAAAACACGCTTGAAAATGCAAAATGCAAGATGCCCTGACCTACCTGAAACTGCTTTTCTAGCCAGAGCACTCGATGCATCAGCTTAGAAACTCATTTGGAGCAGGAGAGTGGAAGCTCAGACCTGCAGCTGCTGGCAGCTTCTCATGCAGTCATGAGAGTCACTGTTAACAAAACAGCAAACAAATAAAAATAAGGACATTGAAGAGGTGGAGCTAAGAGCAAGGCTTCATTAGAGCATCAGGAGGTGTTTCAGTGTGAAGATGACCTCAAGGTCCAACAAGAGTTTGGATATACAGGGAAGGCCATGCTAACATGGAATCATGGGATGGTTGGGTTGGGTTGGGAGGGACCTCAAAGCTCATCTCATTCCACCCCTGCCATGGCAGGGACACCTTCCACTACCCCAGGTGGCTCCAAGCTCCATCCAACCTGGCCTTGGACACTTCCAGGGATAGAGCAGCTGCATTTTAAAAATAGCATTTCCCACAGAACACAGAAAGAGAGAATATCCTTGTGTCCAAACAGGCCTAGATGAGGGTTGGAGGATGTCACCAAAGGGGTATCAGGGACAGCCAAAAGGTGATACAGAGACTCCATCCTCAGAAGGCATGAAAAGCCACTTTATTATTAGAAATCCACGGTTCTTATAGAAACAATTGTGCACCTAAACCTGATTGGCCTTAAGGAATCTTCTCTCACATTATTGGTGAACTATGAATAGCACACTCTGGAGAACCATATCTATAAACAATGGTTATAGAAAGAGAGATAAGAATTAAGTTTTCCACAGCTTCTACACACCTTGCCATGATTTTCCTGGGAGAACCATGTCTCTCTCTGTTCAGAGGATATGAAATTACTACTGGAGGAGACCACCACCCCTAGAACAACATGGGTTTCCCACTGCTGACCACCCTGCTACACCCAGAGCACCTTTTCTTAACCACAAGAGCAATGCAGAGAACTCATGGGATACACACTGCCACATGGAGCCCCGAGTAAAGAAATTAACCTCAGTGTTTGCTCTGCAGGGAGCTGCTGAAGTGACCCTGGAGCAAAGGAGGAAAGCTGGAAGCCTTTCCTGATAGGCTCCAAAATAACCAGAATCATTTAGGAGAGAGAGGAAGAAGCAAAGAGAAACAAACCCAAAATGCTCATGGCCAAAATCCTCAGGTGGCAGCACCCAGGGAGCAGGTTTGTCCCCACCCCTGTGCCCAGCTCTGCCAGCAGCAGCACACAAACCACTCATCCTGCCCTGGAAAGCAAAGCCACTCTTCATCCCATCCCTCCAGCCTCCAAGGGAGGCAAAAGCAGGGTGGAGATTTGGAATAGAACCAGCCCTGTGCTGCACTCTTCCAACTCAGCTTTCACTCTTAGATAAAGGAAAAGCAGAGGTCTCCCTGCTCCATTCACATTAGCTAGTGCAATTCATACATTTCCACTCAAATACCAGTTGGGGAGGAAGGGGGGATAAATAAATCCAATTCTGCTTATGAAGCAGCACCAAACCCAAGGAGCTGTCTGCCAGGAAACAAGCAGATGGAAGCCTGGTAATTCTAATTTCTTGAGGCTCCTTTTTAGCTACATTTAGGATTGCTTGGAAATTTGCTTTTCAGTTTTTACACTGCCTCACCTTCAGTGAGTGCTGCAGGGAGGGGGACACCAGGCACCTCCACCTGCAGGCCAGAAGATTCTTCTGTCCACAGGCTGAGGAAGAGGCTCTGTCCAGATGGACAAACAGAGCCATGGAAAAGCCAGGGAAAGCTTTTCAAGCCTCTTGCCCTGCCTGCTGTAGGACCATGAGAGGTGTCACCCATCCCGGAAGATTCTTCTGTGCCACAGGCTGGAAATCAAACAGCTTTTGTCCATCTGGAGAGAGCCCTGGAAAATCCAGAGAAAGCCTTTCCAGCCTCCTGTAGGACCACGAGAGGTGTCAGCCATGGCAGGAAGGCCCTGTTTCCATCAGTAACCGGCCCTTATCTCACCAGAGCAGCCCTCTCAGGCTTATCACATCTCTTATCTGCAGAGTTGCTGAGCCCCAAAAGCCACCCCAGGAGGAAGCCCCACACCCTGCCTGGCCCCTCTTCCAGCCATGATAGCTCTCCTGGATCTCAGAGTGGTGCTCACACACAAACACCCATTTTTGATGAGCAAGCTGTGAATCAGCAGCATTTGCTGGGAGAATCCCTCGCTGCTCCCTCGCAGCTGCAGCCTCTCCCTCTCCTCTCCATGGAGCCTGCAAGGACACGTTTGCTGCCACATCCAGAATGATTTCTGGGCTGGTGAAAGGACAGGAGGAGCAACTCACAGTGACAGTTTGGGTGCTGGCAGCAGGACTGCGTGGCAAGGTTTGATTAGAGCTCTGTGCTGTGGCACACACAGCACTGCCCAGCTCTAACACTGCTAATACACTTCTTAGAAAATACCAGGGCTGTCTTCCCCAAATCAATGAGTCTGGATGCCAAACTCCTCCCTCCCCTGAGGGAGGCCCTTCTGCTTGCAGAAGGTTCAGGGCCCTGCTTCCCTAAACTCAGTATCCCTGTGGAAACAGTGCAGCTCCTGGAGTTGCTAAGTGATGCTGAGCTGGGGAATATCTGCACATAAATGACAAGCTGTGCCACAGAATTATTTAGGCTGGAAAAGCATCCTGCCCAATGCTATTTACAGAAAGGGTGATAAAGTTCTGGAATGGCTGCCCAGGGAGGTGGTGGAGTCACCATCCCTGGATGTGTTTAAAACCAGCCTGGATGTGGCACTGGGTGCCAGGCTTTGGTTGAGGTGTTGGGGCTGGGCTCGACTCAATGATCTTGGAGATTTCTTCCATCCCAGTGATTCTATGAATTCTGTGAATTTCAGCACCTAACATGACCTCTGGCTGTGACACCCACAACATTTCCTTCATGCAGGAGCACCAGCTGAGAAGAAATTTGGGAGGTTTTGATGCTGTGAGGATTAATGAGTGAAATTAGCACCAGCCTCATTCTCTGTGTCACAGCACAGCTCAGAACCACCAGGCAACAGGACCCAAACACCTCCAAGCTCTGCTGCCTTATCCCCAGAAGATTGCCCATGTCCCAGCACAGAGTCCCCAGCACAGCCTGCAGCAGGCTCAGAGTGGGAGCTCCACCTCTGACTGATGCACCTGGAGATGCCACAGCCAGTGGAGAGCTGCAGGATTCCCAGAGAGAGCACGAGATTCCTCTCACTAATATTCCAGTCTTTGCCAGGTGAATGCCATCATCTCTATTATCCATGTGGAATTACAAGCAAACCAGGATTTAGGAAAGTGGCCACATCTGAGTGCTGAGGGCCACTTTTGTAGACTTTACAGAACTCCTTGTGCTGTTCATCAGCAAAGCTTTGCAGCTGAGGATTCTCCTGTGTCTTTTCCTTCCCACTTCCCACATGCACACAAGCAGCACCATGGCAAAAAGAGCAAGAGCAGGCTCTTGTCTTATTTTCTTATCCCATTTAACCAGCAGGGATCAGGAATATCAGTGAGGGCTGAAGAATGCTGCTTGGAGAAGGCACCCCCATGACCAGAGCAGCCTGGCACAGGGTATTTCCATATTTCACTACTTCTTTTTTGCACCATTTCACCAGTGTTGAAGTAGTCTTTAAAATACTCTGGAGAAACTCAGCCTAAATAGATCACTCCCACAAATTCACCAAGCCAGTTTGCTTGTGGATTGAAGAAATCAAATTAATTGATTTAGAGACAACGTAAGGGATTTTGAGAGGACGTTTAGCTGATGTCTAAGATGTCATTTTAATCCTCCTCACAGTTAATTCTTTGAGTGTAGAGAGCCAGTAAAATTTGTGGTGCAGCCCTTACACAGAAAAACATCTCCACAGGCGTGCTAATCAGGGAACTATTTTGCAAATTGTTCCTAATCTACAGCTGCTTGTCTCTGCTCTCTTCCTGCAGAGACAATAAAATCATCCAGCTAATAGCAATGTGAAAGGGAGGGAATGATCCTCATTTGGTTTAAGTAGACAGATCTGCACTAGGGAACCACTAAATAGTGCAGTGATGAACTCAGGGAGGCAGCCCAGAAACATCCCTTCCATCTTTTGGGCATGGAAGGCTGCTAGGAGACTTGCAGCACGATGCAAACTCATTCCTAGTGTCCCAAAAAGTGCAAAAATTTGTAACTGCAATCAACAACAACATCATTATGTGAATTAGTAGGATTTGCTCATAGGATTTTTTTTTTTCTTAGTTCTTGCAGTATCATGGTGACCTGAATAGACCTGACCTCTGCAGCAGGAGATTCTTTCCCTGTTTCCAAAATAATCATTCCTGTTCCCAGACCTCATCCTTCCAAAAAACACCTTCCAGGGCACATTCCTCTCCACAAACCCAGCCCCAGTGTTGCTATGACCCTTCTCATCCCTTAGAGAGCCAAGTGCCCCATGGAAACCTCAGCCCTACGTGGATGCCTGGACACTGAGAAATGACTTGGTACATACACTGATAGATATTTTCAACTGTCCCCAATGGGTGAGAATTCCCCACATTCACCCAAAAATACTTTGAAGAGAAAAGGAAAGATTGGTGAATTCCAAGAAAGCAAGTTATGGCTAGGTCAGAAAACATTAATAACATGAAATACAGTGTAACTGCTCACTGTTGAGGCCTGGTCAGGGTGTGCACAGCCAGACCCATCAAGATAAAAATCCAGAATCTGATCATTTAGACCTGTTAGGGATAAGGAATTCAGGGAATGACCAGAGTTATGGATTGTAATGACATCAGAGAAGTTTCCTGTTGTCCACCACCAACAGGAACCACTTCACATTGCTTATACAGATTCATTTTACCAATCAAGCTGGTGCTTGGCATCTCATGAACCATTTTCCAGTGACTGGTACCTATTCTGGTTTTGCAGGAGGATGGGATGAAAGCTGAGGACTCCATGACAAGCTTGGTCTACATGCTCCAGCTAAAGAGATGGAGACAGAAATGGTTCACCTTGACCTGTAGATAAAGTCAGAATTCCCACTGTACTTAAATCCATGACTTCACAGCCAAAAGCCTCCCTGTCAAGCTATCCACTGATTCAGAAATGAGCCACAGCAGTTTGAATTTAGCTCTTCCCATTTTGCAAGTGCCTTGAAACAACAGCACCTCAGACATATCCCACCTTTTAACAGGTAAGAGCTGAGATTCAGCCATTGCAAAGACAGAAATCACAAAAATTGCTCCAGAAAAAGAGGTCCTCAAGGATCAGATTTCCAAGATTTCCAAGTTTTTAACACCAGAACAATCCCTAGGAGGATGAGACTTCCCTAAGTGGGACATGACTTCTGCAGAGCAGTGGTGTGATGGCCTGGGAAGGAGGAGAGAGACCAGGATGGCTCCTGGTGCTTCCCTGCACATCCCAAAGGGAGGGTGGGCAGAGCAGAGAGACAGAGTCACCTACAGCCTGCAGAGACCACATCTCATTAGAGAATTTGTATTTTCCTCACACAACATAGTCCAACCTGTCCCTGCAATTCATATTGAAAAATCTCTTTATAGGAATTGCTCCCCAGCAAGGGCAGAACGTCTGTGAAAGCCCCAGCTCCTGTGAGGTGCTCTGTTTCAGAATCTCCAATTTGAATTAGAAATTTAATTGTTTTCCAATTTAAATTGGAAATTTAATTGTTTTCCAATTTAAATTGCAAGTCCCTTTCAATTTAAATTTTGGTACAAATAAAAAGTGCAAATACAAAGGTTTATAGCTGAATATAATCAAAATAATAATAATAATAATAATAATAATAATAATAATAATAATAATAATAATAATAATAATAATAATAATACATTAATAGAATAATATATAATCATATAGATAATAATATATATACAAATATAAATATACTATATAAATAAAATATATATAAAATATAAATATATATAAATATATATAAATATAAATATATGTATAAATATAAATATATGTATAAATATAAATATATAAATATATGCATAAATATAAATATAAGTATATGTATAAATAAAAATATAAATATAAATAAAATAAAAATATAAATATAAATAAAATAAAAATATAAATAAAATATACATAAAAATATACATAAAAATATACATAAAAATATACATAAAAATATACATAAAAATATACATAAAAATATACATAAAAATATACATAAAATATACATAAAATATACATAAAATATACATAAAATATACATAAAATATACATAAAATATACATAAAAATATAAATAAAAATATAAATAAAAATATAAATAAAAATATAAATGGCAGACACACAAATGTAGTAACAGACCACAGAGCAGGGCAGCAGCCCAGAGCTGCTGGCTGCTCCTCCAGCCCCAGCAGGGTTAAGAGCATTAGTGCAGACTCAGGGGGACAGGATCCTGAGCTGGTGACTGCCTGAATGTGTCCTTTGTGAGCCACCCCAGGCACAGAGCTCGCTCCAAGGACACGTGGAGCACAGCCAATTCCACAATTCCACAGGGATGCTGTGGCTCTCCTGGGCAGGGAGCTCAGGGGATACTTCTCAGGACAGCTAAAAACAACCTGTTCCATGAAGAACCCTGAGAGCTCCACTGAAATGGGAAAAAAACGCACCTAAATCACATTCTGCTCAAGTGGCAAATACCTCACAATGAGCCCAAGCAGCTTTCAGTAATTAAAAGATCTTGTGAGTATAAAAAACGTGCTGCTGGCACTTCAATTTATAAAGGAGGCTTCTTTGAGCTCTTAAAATATAATTCCATCTATGGGTCCCATCTAAAGTGAGGATTTGCACAATAATTGTGTTGATATCAGCCCAGCAAACTTCCAGGCATGCAGCTATCTCTTGTTAACCTTTGTAATTCATCTTCCTGCCCAGGAAAACACCATCCAAGAAAGGCTGAACATGGGAAAAGGGAAAATATGGCCCCCATGGCACCTCTAGGAAGGAGTCAGCACACCCAAGACCAGGGATGACTTTTTGCAGATTCCCCTTGGTGCTGCAAACACTCAATGCAAAGTCAGGGGTTTGCCTCCACTGTTACAACCCTCAAACTCAGTCACCCCAAGCTTTAGGGGTTTTTGTTTCCTTTATAGCCTCGTGCAACAGAAAAACCACAAACAAGAAAAGCACAGAGAAGAAGCAAAAATGAAACCATGACCCAAAACCCCAACCCTCAAAGCTGCTCAGCCTTAGCAGTTGAATCAATTTAAGAGCAGCAAAACTGCCCCAACCAGACAAGGTTCTGCTTGAGGCTTTGGCTGCTTTCTGCTCCAGGAGCTTCCTGAGCATGGATTTAGCAACTTTTTGGGAAATTTCTCATCCCAGGAGCTGCTCAGCTTCCCTCCACTCCCTGCAACTTGATCCCACTGAAACTCTTTGTATTCACAACACTGTCTGGCAAGGATTCTGACATGTCCCTAAGAGAGGAGTCTGGGTGCCACTGCCACTCCTTGGGATTCCAGTCCCTGCCTCATCCCATCTTTCCCAGTCACAGGAGTGCAAAAAAAATCCTTTTTTCTGGCTCCCAGGCCATGCAGCTCTGTTTAAATTACTGCCTAACAAGCTGGGAGGGTTTGCTCTCTCATAGACATCAGGTTGGGGAAAACTCCTGCTCTCTGCAAATAGGAGAGACTTTGGAAGTTCTTTACTGTAAATCAGCAAATACCAGAAATGTGCTTTTCCTCTGGAAGCAAAGCAGGTTTTATCTCAGTAGGTTCCTCCATGATTCCTAAGATGCCACATTATGATTTTCCAGCACATTTCTGGCTGCTCCTAATTACTTACCCAGCAATATCCAGTGGAAATTTGGGGGAGAAAAGCTGACTGCAGATTGTTCCATCAACAAAGAAAATAAGCAGGTTATGGATGCCAGTAATTTTTCATCCAATAAATGGCTTGGAATGTGATATGCCAATCAAAATTACCATTTAAATATGACATGTTGCCCCACTCCATCCCACTCCTGGCCATCAACTCTGTTAGAGGTCCTTGTTCCCACTGCACTTTCCCCCATGGCTGCATTCCACTCCGGGGCTAAAGGTTGCCTGTAAGCACTTTGAACAGTATGTGAAAAGCTTTGTTTATCCAAAAATATTTCAGCTCTGAGAAACATTAAAGCAAGATGTAGATTTCAGCATTTGCACAGCAAAGAACTGCAACTCCTACAGATATTGCCAGAAACTTTTTTTTCTTTAAGGCTTTCCAGCTATGATAAAGCAAAGCTACAAACAAAAAGTGTCATCTTTTAGTAATGGGCTACAAAGGGTTGTCACAGCCAGGCTGTAATTTCTGTCTTGCTCACTTTTTCAGAGCAGATAATTGATCAAACAGTAGGAAAAACCTGATGGTGCAGCAAGGAAACCCAAAACTTATGGGGTCTTCCCCAGTAAGCAGCTCTAGAGAAGCACTATCAAAATAAAGGGAATTTCCCTGCAGCCTGGCCCACAATTTCCCTTACAGGAGTGAAATCCAGCCAGCCTGCAGATCACCTGCTGTTCTCCAGCCCTAAAACCCACCTTAAAACACAACTTTGCCCCAAGCTCTCAGCAAGGCTGTTGTTTAAAACAAGAGGAATCAAGCACAGGGGTCACCAGAGACAGTCAAACAATCCCAATTCAGCTGATCCCAGTTATCCCAGGGGAACAGGACTGCAGGACAGGAATATTTAGAATGTTATGGCCTAAAAGCAGCTCATTTTCCAGCTCAGAGCTCCTCTCATTTGCAGGAGACACAATCCCTGTTTCAGCAGAGGAAATAAAATGTGCTGGACTCTGTTACCAAGGCCAGGCTAGTGAGACTGGGAATTCTTTGGGAGAGGGCAGGGGACATTTATCTCCCACCCCACTGCTTTTGGAGCAGTTATCAATTAGTGCATTTTCCTGGGCTGAATCCTTATCTATCTCTACAGGCTCACCATCCCAGAGCTCCAGATCCACGTTTTTCTTGGGATATGGTTTGGTTCTTTTCCTCCTGCCAGGGAATTCCCAACCAGCAGCTGGTTCTGCACCAGTTCCTTACATCCATCAACTGCCTAATTAATCAATGGACTTACCTCTTTCTGCTGCCACAATAGAATTAACCAAGTATAAACAGAAAAAAAACACAAAAACCCACACAGACCTTCACTTACTCCTGCTGTCTTCCAAGCTAGAATTTGCCTGGTGTGATTTTAAACCAGACTTTATTTGTTTTTTTTTCCTTACACCTGGGAGAAAAGTAGTTACATCAGGCATGCAAAGTGCCAAAATTAGCTGGTTTGCCTAAATGCAACACATCAACCCAGCTGCAGCACTTCCTGAGGTACAGACTACACAGTCAGCAAGTGACACAAAATCCTCAGTGCTTAGTTCAAGAGAAAAAGGGAGGGGAAAGAACTGTTTTACACCTCTGAGAGCACAGGAGGGGCAGAAAGGCAGGCCTGTCATACACTAAAAGGCTCACACAGCACCACCATCACCTTTATAAAGGAGATCTCCCTCTCCCTTTGTCCAAAGACCCTTTCCAAAGCTGTGGAAAGTAATTCTGAACCACACAGAGGTCATCATGCAAGAGGCACCAGAGCTGGGGCCAGCTGCCAGCTCAAACAGAGATTTCAGTCCTTGCTGCCAAAGCACAAAGAGCAACAGGCAAAGCTGCCCTGGACCCATGAATTTAATGTCAACACTAAAGCAGACTAAGAGGTTGGAATACAGAAGTGACCTTCAGGTCTCTCTGTCCACTCCATTTCTTCTGCAAACACCAGAGGAGTGACACAACTGTCCCAATGAAGTCATCAGTCTGGCAGAGGCAGAGCAGGCCCCAGCACTGTGCCCTTTCTGTGCCCTTTCTGTGGTGACAGAGCAGCCCACAGCCACCTCACCCGAGACCTGTCCAAGCCACTGCAGAGCATGGCAGCACAGCACATAAATCTGTCCCTTCCTTTTCAGAGATCTGCAAGGGTTATCCTCACCTCAGGGAAACTCTAACAACCTTTCTGCCTTCTCCAAATCCTGGTTTTTGGGTTTTTTTTTTAATTTGTGTGCAGAGCTCAGTCCCAGTTGCTGGTGACAGCCTGCACTGCTCAGCCCCAGCTGGAGCTCCCTGACCAGCACAAAGTCTCTCAGCACAGAGAGTGTGTGTGTGTGTACACAGCAATAAAAGCTAAAATCAGTGATGCTGTCTCATTTCCCACTCCTCTGCACAACACAATTTATTTTTAGGTCATAACTCCTGATTGCAGGATGGAAAGGAAGGATGGGCACAGGCACAACAGCTGCAAGCAAACTTGGAAACATCAAAAATAAGATCTTTCCACTTGATGTTTTGTTAAAACAGCTACACCTTCACCTCACACTGAGTATTTCTGGAGCCAAGATTTGTCCTGGCACATGGATGTCACCTTCTCATGTGGCTTCCCAGCAGGCACAGAGCCTGGCACCATCCCAAAAGCTGTGCCAGGGGAGGGTCAGCTGGGACATCAGGAGGAATTTCTTCCTGGAAAGGGTGGGCAGGGAGGTCACTCAGTGCTCTGGGCTGGTGACAAAGTGGGGATGGGGCACAGCTTGGACTCCGTGGTCTGGGATGTGTTTTCCAACCTAAATACCTAATTTAGGAGCCTTGTGAGCTACAACAAATGCTGCCTTTTTTTTTTTGTCTCTTGCTTCACAAGGAAAGAACAGGATTGAACAAGCTGGGTCAGGTGTGGGGGAGGAATATTGAGCAGGTGAATCCTGAGTGGTGGCTGAGCAAGGAAATGTCTGCTGTGAGGAGCCACAAGTCACTGAAACTCCTTTCCAAGTAACCAAACCCATCACACCACAACAGAGCAAGAGCTCCACAGGGAGATCTGGGCAGCAAATCCTGCACAAGGCAGAAACCCAGAGCTGAGGAAAAACCAGCAAACTGCCCATTAGCAAGAACACCTCCTCCTGAAGCAGCTCTCTTGCTGGAGAGCCCATTGTCACCTCAGCCAGCCAGCAAGGAAGGGATGCACACCCACAAGTGCCTGAAGCTCTGCTGCAGCTCCTTCCTCCCCTCTCTCACAGCTTTTTATTTCTTAAACGTATCAAGCACGTCTCACAAGCCTCTCACAGCCACTTAAAGCCAGGGGTTAAGTGCAGCTCAAGTGAGGCAGCATTTCTGCTGTTACACACAAATTGTCTCACATGTTGCTTTTGCTGCTGCTGCCACGGGCATCAGAGGGAAGCAGCAAGGAGCTGGAAGGCAGCAAGTGAAGGTACAGGCACAGGAAAACAACTCCAGAATTGGTTCTGCTAAGGCTGGGAGTGCTTTTTTCTCCTAAATCCCACAAACTGACCTGTTCCCAGGCTGTCCAGAGACAGGGGATGTGCTCTCCAGGTGCGGGGATGGCTCTGTTCTCCCAAATCCCACAAACTGACCTGTTCCCAGGCTGTCCAGAGGCTGGGGATGTGCTCTCCAGGTGCTGGGATGGCTCTATTCTCCCAAATCCCACAAACAGAGCCTGTTCCCTGAGTGTCCAGAGGCAGGGGATGTGCTCTCCAGGTGCAGGCAGTGCTCTATTCTCCCAAATCCCACAAACTGACCTGTTCCCAGGCTGTCCACAGGCAGGGGATGTGCTCTCCAGGTGCTGGGATGGCTCTATTATCCCAAATCCCACAAACTGACCTGTTCCCAGGCTGTCCAGAGGCTGGGGATGTGTTCTCCACATACTGTGAGTGCTCTATTCTCCCAAATCCCACAAACAGAGCCTGTCCCCTGAGTGTCCTGAAGCAGGGGGTGTGCTCTCCACATACTGTGAGTGCTCTATTCTCCCAAATCCCACAAACTGACCTGTTCCCTGAGTGTCCAGAAGCAGGGGATGTGCTCTCCAGGTGCTGGGATGGCTCTATTCTCCAAAATCCCACAAACAGAGCCTGTTCCCTGGCTGTCCACAGGCAGGGGATGTGCTCTCCACATACTGTGAGTGCTCTATTCTCCCAAATCCCACAAACTGACCTGTTCCCTGGCTGTCCAGAGGCAGGGGATGTGCTCTCCAGGTGCAGGCAGTGCTCTATTCTCCCAAATCCCACAAACAGAGCCTGTTCCCCGAGTGTCCAGAGGCTGGGGATGTGCTCTCCAGGGGCAGGCAGTGCTCTATTCTCCCAAATCCCACAAACAGAGCCTGTTCCCTGGCTGTCCACAGGCAGGGGATGTGCTCTCCAGGTGCTGGGATGGCTCTATTATCCCAAATCCCACAAACAGAGCCTGTTCCCTAAGTGTCCAGAGGCAGGGGATGTGTTCTCCAGGTGCTGGCAGTGCTTTATTCCCTCGTGGCAGGGGAGCAGCAAAGCTCCTGCCAGGACATCATGCCCAGGGAGGGACCACAGAGCTCAAACTCCCAAAGAGGCTTTGCCCTCAGCTGCCCCACACATCAAATTCAGCAGGAACATTTCCCTCCTGACACTGACTTGAGTCTCCTGGGAAAAGATTCTTCTGGCCACCTCAAAGAAAGGATAAATGAGCCACCTGCACACAAGGAATCCAAGCTGGGTTTGCACTTGATTCATTTGCTGCAGGTAAAGTTACAAAATGACACCTGTGACAATCAGCTGTGTGTTTAATTAGTAGAAAGCAGCTGTAAGAGCAGCAATTGCTCTCTGCTAACCATCCACACACATCCCCAGACTGATGGAAAAGACCTCTAAACCTCAGGAAGAGATTTTAAACAGGCTTGACACCAACATTAACAAGTTGCTGGAGTTGAGAGGTCATTCCTGTGGAAGAACAGCACAATGTGTCCATAAATAAACTAACTCGACAAAACAAGTACAGCTGAGCCCTAAGGAAGCAAAATAAATTAAACAAATTGAAACTTCCAGCTACAGAAGTTATGTCAACTTTCAGAGGTTCCCATAGTTTGCAGCAGAAATTGATTTCATGTCCTCAAAGTTTTTTACCTTCTATCTTGGCCTCAAAGCCATCAACTTGGGGAAGGAATTGAACTTGGAAAAGGTATTTTCTGGAGAACACACCCCAGCCAGGCTACAGTAATTGTTTTTTAATCTTGCCTTTTTTCAGGCATTGCTGCAACAATCCTCCTGTGCAGGTAAACAAATGGTAAGGGATGGCATTTCCCAGGATTTGATAGGTGTACAGGTAGAAATTCCATATTAAAAAAAATATATATCCTTTCAGAGTGAGCTTTGGAGAGCACTCTGTTAGCTAAGGCTCTGCCTTCCTGATGGAAAAATCCCTTTGGGACAAGCAAACCTGGCCATGCACTCTCAGCATGAGATCTGGCACCTGGCAAAGTCCTGCTGGCTGTTCTGCAGGGGCACTTGGCTGGAATTCCACAGCTTTGCCTGGAATTCCACAGCTTTTCCTGGAATTCCACAGCTTTTCCTGGAATTCCACAGCTTTCCTGAAACTCCCCACCCCCAGCATCAAGAGCTGCAATTAGTGAACACACACTTTCATTTTGAGCAGAATCAGATTGTGATTTCCCTCTGATCCCCCCCATTCCCACCCCAAAGTTTTCACACTTGGTTTTGCAGTGGTTTTGGTATTTCAGCAGGAGCTGCCTTTCCCTTTTTTTCTCCTGAAAGTTTCTGTGGTAAACTTTGACACCCAGTTACCAAACTGTGGCTTTTGAAAGATTCACAAGTTCCCTAAAGAAACCAAAATACTGGATTGGAACAGAGGGGAGGGAGTTCCCTGCTGTGGTTTGCTCCTGTTAAAATACCCAGCTGGGAGTCTGGAGGCTGCACCTGCACAGATGTGAGGGATTATTAATAATATCTTCCAAAAAAAGTTTGTGAACAAGGAAAATACAACTGGCTTTTGCACTATTTCCCCTTTGTGAGAGGCCATTTCCTGCAAAGCATCCTTTGGAAAACTCAGGTTTTCCATTAGCTTTGTAAATGCCAAACAGTCTCTTCCAGCTTCACCATTCATCAGATGATTTATGAGAGGTGCAAAAGCACTACATTAGCAGGAAAGAGAAAAACTGAGCTCCACAAATATATTTGCAAATTTGACTTGAACAAAGCAACTTTTTTTTTTTTTTTTTCTAAAAATTAAGAGAAAATAAGGTGGAAAATTGAGCTAAATCTTCCATAAAATGGGAAAGTGCTGCTGGGGCTGCAGACAATCCTGTGCTCAAAAGCAAGGAGTCACTATCAGTAAAACAAACCTTCCCTGGAATGCAGAGATGCCTTGTTCAAAAGGGATAACAGGAACACAACAGCAAGAGGAGCACTGCAGAAAACCACCAAAGTCATCACAATAACCAAACCCATTTGAAAATGGTTGTTTGTCCCCATTTCTGTGGAACAGCCCAAACCAGGGATTGATTGTCTGCTTTCAGTTCCCAATGTAAGCAAGAAATTTAAGCTCCCTCATCCTCAGAAATGCCAGCAGAACAAGATATCCCATTTGTCAGCTAAAGAAACTTTTCTATTGCAGATGTGACAAGCCAGCTGGCCTCATATCTGGCAAAAAATGCAGTTTCTGGATCCACCTCTTCAAAACTGGACACACCTCAGCATCAGGAATCTGTTCCATCCCTCTAAGAGCCATCTGCAATATCTTGGGGCTCTGGCCAAGCAATTAATTCCTCCTAATTGCTGGAATGGGACCACCCCTAGCTGGAATTGCAGCCAGCTCTCCCTCCCTGCCCTGCCCTTGGGGGGATGCTGATCCCTGACTCCAGCTTCAGGCACTGTGCTGGGACCTGGCAGCCCTTGGAAATGGGATCCTGGAGGGGAACATGGAGGGGAACATGGAGGGGGTGGCCTACAGGACCTGGCCCAGTGACACCTGGGACCTGGCAGCCCTTGGAAATGGGATCCTGGAGGGGAACATGCAGGGGGTGGCCTGCAGGACCTGGCCCAGTGACACCTGGGACTTGGCAGCCCTTGGAAATGGGATCCTGGAGGGGAACATGCAGGGGGTGTCCTGCAGGACCTGGCCCAGTGACACCTGGGAAAAGCAGCCCTTGGAAATGGGATTCTGGAGGGGAACATGCAGGGGGCAGGACCTGGCCCAGTGACACCTGGGACCTGGCAGCCCTTGGAAATGGGATCCTGGAGGGGAACATGCAGGGGGTGGCCTGCAGGACCTGGCCCAGTGACACCTGGGAAAAGCAGCCCTTGG